TTCACGTTAAGGTCTTTAATCCTTAGTTTTGTGTATGGCAATAGACAAGGATCTATCCACATTCTTCTACATACTGGCATCCAGTTATTCCAGAACTTTGTTAAAGATGCTTTCTTTTTTCCATTGTGTATTTTTAGCTTGTCAATTTTCAGGTGATCATACATTTATGAGTTAATATCAGGGTTTTCAATTCTATTCCATTGGTCTACCTGTCTATTTTTGTGCCAATACCAAACTGTTTTCAGGAATATAGCCCTATAATATAGCTTGAAGTCAGGAATGGTGATGCCTCCAGATGTTGCTTTGTTGAATAAGGTTGTTTTGGCTATCCTGGATGTTTTGTTTTCCATACAAGTTGATTATTGTTCTTTCATGGTCTTTGAAGAATTGTGCTGGTGTTTTAATGGGGATTACATTAAATCTGTAAATTGCTTTTGCAGGATTGCCATTTTTACTACATTGATCCTACCTATTCAAGAGCATGGGAGACCTTTCCATTTTTCCTTCTTTAAAGACTAGAAGTTCTTGTGATACATGTCTTTCACTTGTTTGGTTAGGGTTACCCAAAGATATTTTATGTTGTTTGTGGCAATTGTAAAGGGTGATGTTTCTCTGATTTCTTACTCAACCTATTTATCGTCTGTATATAGTAGGACTACTGATTTTCTTGAGTTGATCTTGTATCCTGCCACTTTGCTGAAAGTATTTATCAGCTGTAGGAGTTCCCTGGTAGAGTTTTTTGGATCACTTATATAAACTATCATATCATCTGCAAATAGTGAAAGTTTGACCCCTTCCTTTCAATTTGTATCCCCTTGATCTTTTTGTTGTCCTATTGCTCTAGCTAGAACTTCAAGGACAATATTGAAAAGGTGTGAAAGAGTGGACAGCTTTGTCTTGTTCCTTATTTTAGCAGAATCATGTTGAGTTTCTGTCCATTTAGTTTAATGTTGTCTGTTGGTTTGCTGTATATAGTTTTTATTATGTTGAGGTAAGTTCCTGTTATCCCAGATCACTCCAAGACCTTTATCATGAAGGGGTGTTGGATTTTGTCAAAGGTGTTTTCTGCATCTAGTGAGATGTTCATGTGATTTTTGCTTCTCAGCTTGTTTATATGGTGGATTACATTGATGTATTTTCATATGTTGAACCATCCCTGCATCCCTGGGATGAAACCTATTTGATCGTGGTGAACGATTGTTTTTATATGTTTTTGGATCCTATTTACCAGTATTTTATTGAATATTTTTGCATCAATGCTCATGAGGGATATTGGCCTGAAGTTCTCTTTCTTAGTTGTGTCTTTGTGTGGGTTGGGTATCAAAGTTATTGAAGCCTCGTAGAAAGAGTTTGGCAAAAGACCCTTTAGCTTATATTGCATGGAATACTTTGAGAAGAATTGGTATAAGCTGTTCTCTGAATTTCTGGTAGAATTCTGCACTGAGGCTTTCTGGACCAGAGCTTTTTTTGGTTGGGAGACTTTTGATCAGTGCTTCTATTTCCATAGGGGTTATAGGTCTATTTAAATTGCTTATGTGTTCTTGATTTAATTTTGGCAAGTGATAGCTATCCAGAAAATTGTCCATGTCCTTTAAATTTTCAAATTGCACTGTTTGAATTGTTTCTTGTAATTTTTGTTTCATATATTCCTCCCTTTCTTTCATTTGTTGGATTTTTGGTTTGTTTTTTCTCCCATTTATTTAAGGGATTTTCCCATATCCTCTTTGAGGGCCTCTATCATTTTCATGAAGTTGTTTTTAAGGTCATTCTCTTCTGCTTCATTTGTTTTGGGGTATTCAAGTCTTACTGGTATGGAGTCTCTAGAACCTTGCGGTGTCATATTTGTTTTTCTGTTGCTGAGTGTGTTTTTGTATTGTCTCCTTCCCATCCCTTCTTCTAGTTTGTGCAGAAAGAGCCTCTTCCTGACCTGGTGGTTAGGGGAGCAGAGTTCCCTTTCGGTGGGTGTAAGCAAGTCCAATACTCTGGTAGTTCTCCTCTTCCTGGTCCTAGTCCTGGTCCCTTAGGTGGAGAAGAAGACCCAGAATCCGGGGTGCATTGGCTCCAGCTGGGAGGGAAGACTCACTGGCGGTCCCCAGGCACTGCTCCAGTGGGTAGAGAAGACCAGGAAACTTGGGTGTGTAGGCTCCCAACAGGAGGAGAGGCTCAGTAGCAGTCCCCAGGCAGTCCCCAGGCACTGGAAGGCAGGCCCAGATACAGGGCCCGGTTTACCTGGCCCCGTTGGTGGAAAAGTTAAAGGAAGCATTTAATTGAGGCTTTGCTTACAGCTTCGGAGGGTTCATTTCACCATGTGGGAGCATGGTGGCTGGCAGGAAGGCAGACAGGCTGACAGACAGGTAGGCGGGCAGGAAGGAAGACAGACATGCAGATATTGCACTGGAATAGTAAATGAGAACTCACATGGATCCACACCAGACAGGGTAAGACAGAATGGGAGTGATAGAGACTAGGACTGGCACTGTGTTTAGATTTTCAAACCTAAACCCACTTGCACACCTCGATCAATAAGTCCATACAATAAGAGCAAATACATGATGAAGGTCTTTACCTTCTTTAAAAGGTATCTTCATGTCAACTGCCAGTAACCTTTAGAAGTCAGTAGGCTACACCTAGCTTTAGAGTGTGTAGCTTCTAGGAATGATTACATTTGCCAGCCTTCTTTGCAGAAAGGTGGGCATTGTGACTCATCAGGGTTTTTTGTTTGTTTGTTTTTACATTTCATTATAAATTTAAATTAGAAACAAGGTTGCTTCACATGTCAATTCCAGGTCCCTCTCCCTTTCCCTCCTCTCCTCCCATGCCCTCCCACCAACCCCCCCAATATCCCCTCATTTCCCCAGGGAGGGTGAGGCCCTCCATGGGGGTGTCCATAGTCTGTCATTTCATCCAGGGCAGGGCCTAGACCCTCCCCCAAGAGTTCAGGGTGAGAGTGTATCTCTCATTGTTGGATGGGAGCCCAAAGTCCATTTGTATACCCGGGATAAATACTTATCCACTACCCAAAGCTCAGTTGATTACCTAGGCCTCCTCTCAGACACCCACATTCAGGAGGTCTTGATCAGTCCCATGCTGGATTCCCAGGCATCAATCTGGGATTCGAGAGCTAACCCTTGTCAGGTCAGCTGTTTCTGGGGGTTAAACCAGCCCAGTCTTAACCCCTTTGGTCATCAGTCCTCTCTCTCTCTATCTCTGGATTTCTTGAGTTCAGCTCAATGCTTAGCCGTGGGGTGACTCATCAGTTTTATAGGAGTCAATTCAGTTTAATTTCTTTGTCCCATGAGCACTTAGGTTTCAAACATTTTATCTATTTTTCCCTTGTCACAGGCCAGAAGACAAACTTAATCAAGATTCTGTTTCAGACAGACAGCTACATTCACTACTCTGGGGCCTGGGAGCACTACAAAGGGGGAAAAGACTGAACAATTAATGGAGCAAAGAGATCCTATGTAGCTGGGTATTCTTTGCAACACTAGCTCCCAAATAATGACATGGAGACTCTTTATTAATAATATAAGCTTGGCCTTAGAATAGGCTTGTTACCAAGTAGTTCTTCTGACCAAAAAACACCTGTTTATATTAATCTACATTCTGCCACTTAGCTCCATACTGTGCATTTGACTCCTTCTACCTCTTGTTGGAAAAACTCTGTCTCTCATATTCTTTCCCAGTGTTCCTCTTTGTTCCTGGAAGTCAAGTCTATCTTCTCCTACCTAGCTATTGGCCATTTATTTCTGCATTAAACCAACCAGAAAGTGCCACAGATGGGTGAGGGAAACCTGTACATCTTCACACATTGTAATCAAATATCCTGCGACACACCTACATAGTTAGATGAGCAAGAAACACACTTCTATTGTGGCATGCACAACATCTTTCAATCAGCCCTGCAGAGGATGAAGGAGGAAGATTGTTGGGAATACAAGATCAGCCTGGGCTACTACGTGAGTTCTAAGCCATCCCCAACTATAATATGAATGTTCAAAAAATGTAAATGACATTGAAAAGTCATGTAATATAAACATCTATATTTTAGATCTCACTTTGTCATTATTACTATCACTACTGTCATTTAGGTTTGGTAATCTTTTTCTTGGTTTTGGGGAGAGCTTTTGTACATGATTTTGATACAGGGCCTTTCTATGTACCCATGACTATCCCAGGAAATACTTTGTATATCAGGCTGGCCTCAAATTCACAGAATCTGTCTGCCTCTACCTCCTCAGTATGGTTTAAAGTTATGCACCAACACATATCCGGCTTTCTCTCTCCTTATTACAACAGTATAGCCTTGTCTTATATCATATACTGGTCAATTCTGTGTGTTTTTCCTAATGTGTGTGATATTCTCATTCTACACTGGAAAGAATATAAGCATCACAAAATAACAGACGCAGTATTCGGTATGCTATTATTATTCAGGATAGCAAAACTACAAACATCTCAAATTTAATAGGAAAAGAATTAATACCTCGTGATAATTTAATGCACTTTAATATATCAGATAATAATTACTGTAGTAATGAATTTATAATTACTGCTATCAATTTAGTATTAATAATATATTTTATTAAACAATGCATTTTATATAATAATATATGAAATATTTATGTATTATATTGATATTATGTGAAATTATTGAGTGGAATCCAAAGTCATAAGCAAGCATGGATACCCCATCTCAGAAAAATCATCTTTAGTGTAAGTACCTTGCAACTGAATGAAGAAATTGTTATAAAGAATTAAGTCTTCCATATGCACAGCATAGGGGGATAGAGAGATGCCTCAGTGCTTAAGGGCACTCAATGTCCTTGTAGAGGACCTGGTTTACTTTCCTTCATCAACATGGCCCTACTTGCAGCTCATCTTCCAAAAGCTCCAATGCCATCTTATGTAAGAACAGGCACACCAAGAATGTGGTGCACAGACAGACATGCAGACAAAATATCAGTAAACATAATAGAAAATAAAAAGTCTACATTTTCTTTTAAAAAATAGTGTTTATTTCTCTTGCACAGGTTCAGAATCAGTTCTCAGAATCTACCCTGGATGGCCTTGACTACAGTTCCTGGTTATCTGACTGCCTCTTCTGGTCTCGCTGGCACCTGCACGCTTGTGGTACTCATAAACTCAATGCCAGAACGCATATACTCACAAAGATAGATAGATAGATAGATAGATAGATAGATAGATAGATAGATAGATATTTAAAAGTAGTTTGGAATCTGACCTTCATGCCTGTAGCTTTTCTATTTCTAACTCCACCTGGAAACACATTCTATTCTAAGGTCCATGTACTTTCTGTGGCTGATTCATCATCCACCCTGTATAAAATCCACTCTGGTATCTACATTTCAAAAGGCACATCTAAATCTGCACATAACAGGAAGTCAATGGCACAAATGAAATAATTATCCAATAAAAATTACTAACATTTATAGAGCATTTACTCTGTTCCACACCTGTGCTAATGTTTGCAACAAATTATCCCATAGTAGCCTCACAAAGACAAGGTAGTACTATAAATGAAGAAATTGAATCTTCAGTGCAACAAGCGTCATTAGTAGCAAGGGCAGAGACATAACACTGCATTGCACACCTCCAAATGAGATGTCAACAAAATGACACAAAGTAGGCCATCAATACTTTAGAAAGTATCTCTGGATCCAGAAATAACAAGGTCTGTTCACGTAATCATCTGTCAAAAGCAACACACAAGAAACACAATTTATCTTTTTTTTTTAATTTAACAAGTAGTAACATTAACAAAATAAGATGATGTAGGTATAAAGTCACACATGATACTGCACAGCTGTAATCTCAGTACTTGGGAGATGAAGGTAACAGGATCAGGAGCTGAAAGTCAATGTGAACACAGAGAGTTCCAGCCAGCATGTCTACAAGAAAAGCAGGGAGGGGAAGAAAGGAGGAGGAGGATGATAACAGCAGGAAAAGGAAAAAAGTGAAAAGCACCAAGCTCTGATAAACCAGCTCTGAAACAAGCATGAGGCTGAAGCAGTGTGTCTCCTCCTGGTCAACCCAGGAGGGAACAAACCAATAGAGATCGTTGGAGCGTGGGATTCCAGTCTCTAATTTCCCCTAATGTCACTGTCTCTCAGAAGTCATGCTTTGCTCCAAACCATCTCCAGACCTCTTCCTCAATGTACTTTAGTCAAGAAAGTTACATCTGCCAAATGGACTCAATGTGTTGACTGCAATTATTTTCAGCAAAACAAAAAGTATAGCATGTGTGCACATTCACAATGCTGCTTCTCTTACTACTAAAGCCTACATTGTGAAGTTGCTCTCTGCACACTGCAGTCATTTAAAATGATCTTGAAAAGGAGGGAGAAAACCCAGTTACAGATGGTTTCATAACTTGAGTGTTTTAATTCTTTTTTTTAATCAACAGCAGATTCTTCATTGAATAAATTTTCAGTGATTGAGTATTCTGCTTCCATCTACTTTGTCAGTAACCTGAAAACACCATCACTCATCACAGGAAATGAACCCTGGTTCTAGTCTCGAGGATGTTATAGTTGATTATAGAATCATATGTCTGTCATGAGGCATACCTACACCATATAACTAACTGAGAGGTTTAAAAAAGTCCCTACCAACTGTAAACTTATATCTCCTAATGGAAACAGTTGTCCTTTTCCTTTTATGGTTATGTGGGAACAATAAAACACATCCCAAGACCATGCTAGGAATAAGAGCAATTTTTAAGTACCCCCTTAATCTCATCACATGATATGGAGACATATCAATTTAAATTGGTGTTCCCTTACATTCCAATGGTACTGTAATGTGACTTGTTATATTAGGTAGCAGAGTGCCCAAGGAAAAACAGATTTTCCTGGTCCTTCCTGTACATGTCTCATGAAGAGAAAAGTGGGGCTTAGGCTGGCGTTCTCTTCCTAGGAGATGCTGCAGAGAACAGCTGTCCATTCTGAACAGCTAATGTGTTATTTAAATCAATATGTCTAACTAATGTCACCATATAAAACACATCTCTTTTTGCTTGAGGGTTTCACCTAGATGACGCCCAGATCCATTTCCACAGTGGGACCCTCAGGTAATCCCCAAAGTTCCTGTTAGCCAACTCAATCTCTTCACTCTCATTCACTAGTGATGATAAGATAGTAAGTGGACTTAACTGTTGGGATTTCATATGCTTATCCAGCCAGAACTTTTAAACATTTTTTCTTTCATTATGTCTCCTTATTCCCTCATTTTCCTTCATTTATTCCTTTCTTCTTTTCTTCATTTCTTTATTCCTTCTTTCTACTCCTCCTTCTCTCCCTGCCCCTTCTTTAGGGTTTGGATTGGCACTTATTTTTTAACCTCTGACCCCAAGACTATCTTTAGCATGTTGAGGTAGCTATGATTTTCCTGAAGTAAAAATTAAAAGTCATAAATTTATCTCTTAGACCTGCTTCTGTCTTTTTATTTCTAGCATGTTATGGTGGTCCAATCCCCCATCTATCACCGTGGTGAACATGGAGAAAGAATTTCCACACATGGATCTCTGTGATGGAGATTTACTAGCACCATCGAGAGAAACTGGTTCCAGGCTGTCCATCTCCACCATTGTAGATACTATGTGCTGCTTAGGCCCCATGGCTGAAGAAACCCTAGAAAGGTCAAGGAACAAATAGGCTTAATGATGCCTTGCAAAAAAAAACAATATGTTCAACTGGAGAAAAAGGGATAGTAGCATCCTTGGTGAAACATGGCCGGTTCTGAAGAGTCATTCTGCAGGTCCTCCCATCCTCCCTCCCACCCTAAGGAGAGCAGGGAGTGAACCCGCCTTGCCCACATTCATGACATCTGAAGACAACAAAGGGCAAGAAGTGAATGAAGTGAGAAAAAGCAAGAGCTCCTCTAGGTCCAGCTCTCCATTTGTATACAAGCTGCCAGATATCAGCTGGCCTTGGAATTCTGCCCCCACAGTTTTCTCCTGTGTCCACCTACATCACCAATAAAACCTCAGAGGACAAGGAGAGTACTACCTCACCTGGTGGTAGTGACACATCAGAGGACTACCTCTCCTGGCTGGAGGACACCCCTTCTTAGACCTCAGCTCCCCATGATGCTGAGGAGGCTGAGAGTGAGTAGCCGGGCAGTGACAACATGCTCAGTGTCATATCACTCAATGGGCTGTGGTTCCTGGAAGACACCAGCGGCACAAGGGATGCCAGAATCCCAGTATGATGCTGAGGAGGCTGAGAGTGAGTAGCCGGGCAGTGACAACATGCTCAGTGTCATATCACTCAATGGGCTGTGGTTCCTGGAAGACACCAGCGGCACAGGGATGCCAGAATCCCAGCATGATGCTGAGGAGGCTGAGAGTGAGGAAATGGGCAGCACAGCACCATTATGCTCAGTCTCTCATCCCTCAAAGATCAGTGGTTCCTTGAAGATAAAGCCAGCACAGGGATACCAGAAAAGCAGCATGATGCTGAGATCACCACTAGCATCAGCACATCTAAGACCTGAAGGAAATTGATCTACAGTGCACTGAGAGAACACATGAGACTATCAACATCCTGGACCATCCTTGGAATGAGAACACTATATATGAAAACCAACAAAATAACAGTTGAAGAGTGACCACCGGTCTCTAGCAAGGACAAGACCCAGGAGGAAACCACAGGTTCCAAGAAGAAGCACAGAAAGGGCTGGAAAGGGGTGAGGAAACAGATTAGGCACCTGTTTTCCAGTTTATGCTGCCGCCTATTTGTACCACAGATAGAAGATATGGACCCCAGATAAGGGACAGCAAGGCATGAGAAATGGAGTCCCAAGGAAACCGAGTAGGCATGGCCAGTGACCTTCCCTTGTGTATTTCATCTTTGAATTGCAAGGCATTTGCCGTTGTTATGCTGCACTCATGTATAGAACAGGAACTCTAAGATATCTGTGGCCCTAGAAGAAGCTTTCTTACTGTTCCCCTATATGTGGATCCTGGGGAAGTTGAGCCTGAAGCAGACAAGAAAAGGATGCAACCAGAGGCAGTGGAGGGAAGGAGGAGGGAGTTGGACTTCATTACTGGGAACTTGTTGGGTGAGAGGAGTCTCGTGGAGAGCTATGGGACAGCAGGATGACTCTGTGTTAAGTCCTGTCAATGTCACAGTCACTAACAGAGTCCTTTGCTTGTGTCTCTTTTGAGGTCTGAAGAGCAGGCCTGGACCCATGGTTCCTAAACCTTGGGACTCAGTTTGGCCTGGTGTGGTCTACCAGTCACAGGAGGGAGCCAGGCCCCACCTGATAGAACTGTGTATCCCAATTATGGTGTTCCCCATCAGACATATCCAGCACCCTAGACACAAGCTTTCTCCCTCCTTGCCCTGCAGTGGGAGCTGTTGGCTCCTACAACTTATGCTCATAGTTGTCCCAGCAATATGGCTGGACAGAGAAGTCAGCCACTGTGTTTTAAAGAGGCAGCCGTCCTGTTTCTGCATCCATGTTAGACAACTTCGTGCTCCACATGACTTGAGGTCTTCACAACTCCTCCAATAATCTTGATGCTTATCAATGACCGGATATAAAGATGTCCACATACTGTGTGAGCCCAGGAGGTAAGAATGTCCAGAATGAAGAACAGAGATGAGGAGAGGAGCGTGAGGGACCTGCCAAGAGAGAAGAAAGTAACAGAGTGAGCCAGCTCATGAAACTGGGTGAAGGGGAGGAGAGTCTGACCATAGGAACTTCCATTTCTAGTCAGGCAGCTGGGAAGAAGGAATGAGCATGTACGGTAAAGGCCAGGACCTCAGACGGGCAGGGGCAAGATTAAACTCCCTGAGGACAAGAGTTGTGGGGGTAAGACATGAGTTCCCAAGACCAGAAGAGCACGCCATCCCAGGGAGGTCAAGCCAAACCTTTCTCAGGACCTCTCTCTTTCTGCTCTAACCAATCTTTGCCTGATCAGGTAACTAGCATCCGTGTCCTTTTCTTCACAACTTCCTTCTACCAGGCCCCCTTGTTGCTCTCTTGTTGTCCCTAAAGTCCAGAAACTGGTATAATATTTTTATCCCAGTGAGTGATTATTTGCCTACAATTGGCTAAAATTACTGGACTTTTCTGTCTACTCTGAAATGGTATGCAGAACCTGAGATGCCTGTGGAACATCACTCCAGACAAGACCAGCATCCTTGGACTATTTTGTGTCCAGTGCCCACATTCAGGGTCTAGATTAGTGGCAAACACTCATTTTCAGGGAGATACAAATGTCAGTCAGTAATGTAGTGTGCATTCTTGCTTAGTGAGGTGTCTGCAGAGTCCTCATGGTCACCAATCAGGTTGTGGTCAGATCTCTCTGAGTCAGCGGGGACTGTCCAGAGACAGGGAATCCAGAGTCTTCTCTGAGGGGATCATTTATATCGGTGGTTCTCAACCTTCCTAATGCTGCTGCCTTTTAATATAATTCCTCATGTTGAGGGGACCCCCAACCATACAATTATTTTTGTTGCTACTTCATAAATAATTTTGCAACATTATGAATCATAATGTAAATAAATGGCAAGTGTGAGAATGGAACTTGGTGCAGGTAGGCACAAAAGACTTCCTGTTCTGGCATTCACTTACTGAATTCTCCCACTCCTACTCTGTTTCTAATCTACTGCCATGACAAAGCACTGTGACCAAGACAACTTAGGAGAGAAACCATGGCTCTTAGGGGTCCACAGTTGTAGGATGACAGAACATGACCATCTTGATGGATTCTAGCAACAGGCACGTCGGGATATCATTGGAACTGGAGCTAATAGCCTGTCTCTGATTCTTTTTTTAAAATATTTTATTTATTTATTGTGTATACAGCCTTCTGCCTGCATGCCAGCAGAGGGCACCAGATCTCATTCAAGGTGGTTGTGAGCCACCATGTGGTTGCCAGGAATTGAACTCAGGACCTCTGGAAGAACAGTCAGTGCTCTTAACCGCTGAGCCATCTCTCCAGCCCCCCTGTCTCTGATTCTTAAACATCACACACACACACACACACACACACGCGCACGCGTGCACACACACACACACACACACACGCACACACACACACACACACACACACACACACACACGCACGCACAGATGCCTTTGAATGAGTTTGCCTTTTGAATCCCTAATGTTCTGATACCCTCTACTGACACCTCCTCTAACAAGACCATATCTCCTCTTCCTTCCCAAACATTTTCACCTACTGGGGATAAGTATCCAAACATGTTCATCTATGGGGGCCATTCTTATTCTAACTAACACCAAATATTAACCAGGTGTGTGGAAGAGGAAACTCTCACGGTAGTTGCAACAGGAGACTGATCACCAAACAGGGTCTATGACCCATTGTTCTGTTGACTACATTAGGCTCCTGAGAGATATCATGAGATGACAATTTATCCTCCAACTGCCCTCCTACTGGCAGGAATAACTCAATGCACCAATTACTTGGTCTTAGAACCTGAGTATGTGAGCTCAGGAACAGCTACCACATCAAAGGCTTGCATGTCAGTGTGGGCATATACTCCCCCATTATGGAGAAGGAATGAAGAATTCCTGTTTTCATGTTGTACAGATGCTCTAGGCTTATTGACAACCTCCAGCTTCATGGAGAGTGTCTCAGGAAAGAAGGTAACTATGACACATGAGACCACTCCTATCACACACAAGTGAACACATACACTTTAAGTGCTCCAGAACACATGGATGAACACACACACACACACACACACACACACCGAAAATGTGAGAGGCATGAAGAAAAGGGAATAGAACAAAACATGGATGAAGGTTTCATCTTTCATAAATGATTGTTCTCACGTGTGGGATCTGTTTCTCAACCTGTAATAACTGTGACTGCGTCCACCAGCAATCAAGTGACAGGCTCCTGCATAACTGTGGGTTCAGTTTACTTTATGTCTCCTCAGGAGAGTCTGCTGAAAACCAGAGTGTGGCTGGAATCCCTGAAGAGCAGCAGGGTGAACTCTTCTCAGATGCCTCTGGGTGAGTGCCACAGAATGGCAGCTCTTAGCTTTATATGGGAACCTTTCACATAGAGATTCAGTACTGTGGACCCTATGGGTTATTTCTGCTAGATGTTGACATATCAGAAGTACATATGAACCTGGAGAGGTGTTATACTCTCATAGTTGGAAGGTGATTTCCAGGACTTACTGGAAATTCCTTTATTTTATTAAATGTTCACTTGATTTTCATGCTTACCCATGTTTTGTACTAAAAAAAAAGAAATTCAGGGTGTCCAGTCCCAAGTGAATTGAAATGTTGCAGCACAAGGAAAGTCTCTGTCAGAATTTTTATCCTGTGCGCTCTTCACTGTGGTGTGAACGTCTTGCAGTTGTCCCACACTGAGGTTTTGCACTGACACTTGGAGCCGCTCCTTGGTCAGGGCACCTGTGTCCTGTTGATAGCTGAGTGAGAAGCCCACAGACATGTGAAGTCTGCAGCATGGCCACAGGGATGCCCAATGCTTCTTGATGGCGTTGACATGAGTAGCACAGGAAGGAGCTTAGAAGGCCACCAGCACAGAACTGTGTCAGGAAATTCAGACACACAAAGACCTCAGAGCACCTGGGGAAATATGAGAACCAAAGCAAAGGAAGCACACGCAGGGAGCAGAGGCAGATGGATCTCTGTGAGTTCAAGGTCAGCCTTGTCTCCAAAGGGAATTCCAAGATAGTGAGAGCTATTGCACAAAGAAACCCTTCTTGAAAAAACAAAACCAAAAAATAAAAGTAAGAAAGAAAGAAATGTAGAGAGAAAGAAAGGAAAGGAGAAAGGAAGGAAGAAGGAAGGAAGGAAGGGAGGAAGGAAGGAAGGAAGGAAGAAGGAAAAAGCAAATGAAGCTCTAGAATGGTGTCTGTACACTGCTTTGTAGGCAAGCATGAGGCTCGACTTCATCCTCCTTTATCAAACAGGTGTGGTGACATATGCTTAGAGTCCCACCAGTGTCAGGCCATCCACCAGCTGATACCTGGGTCTCACTGTCAATCCCACAAGCCTAGTAGAATCCCTGAGACCTGTTATAAATGAGTGACAGATAGTTGTGAGCTGCCATGTGGGAATTGAACCAAGATCCTCTTATATTTTTGGTTGTAAGCCTAGCTTTTAATGGCTGAGCCATTTCTCCAGCCCCTGTCAAGGTATTTTTATTTTTTATTTCTGATTCTATGTATCTAATGGCGCATCTCCTTCTGCCCCTGCTGCCTGAGTGCTGACATCACAGGTATTGGCATGCTTCTTCCCTCTGTAGAGTGCTACAAACTCTATGCTGGGGCAACACTTTGTGACTGGAGTGCATACCTAAATAGATTTTCTAGATCCTAGCAGACAGTTGAGCACGGAGTCCATGTGCTCAGTGTGTGTGTGTGTGTGTGTGTGTGTGTGTGAGAGAGAGAGAGACAGAGAGAGAGAGAGAGAGATTTAAACAATATGTATCCACTAACCCAGACCTACAGAAAGTTCTCGAAGGAAAACCCCACCCAAGGGAGTTAACTACAACCAGAAAAACAGAGGAAACAGATAATCCCACCTTACCAACAGCCAAAAGAGAAGAGGTGGAAATCCACATATAATTCCACCACCATCAATTATTCCAAAACAAACAAGAATGAGCAATCAATGGTCATTAATATCCCTCAATATTAATGTTCTTAACTTGCCCATAAAGTGGCACAGGCTAACAGAATGGATTCAAAGACAGAACCCATCCTTTTGCTGCATACAAGAAACACACGTCAGCCTCAAAGACAGACATTACCTCAGAGTTAAGGGTTGGGAAAAGAATTTCCAATCAAATGGACCCAAGAAACAAGTGGGGTAGCAATCCTAATATCTAACAAATTAGATTTCAAAGTAAAATCAATAAAAAGAGATGAAGGAGGGCACTTCATACTCACCACAGGAGAAATCCACCAAGATGAAGTTTGAAATTTGAACATATATGCCCCACATACAAAGGCACCCACATTCATAAAAGAAACATTACTAAAACTCAAATCACATATAAAGCCCCACACACTTATAGTGGGAGACTTCAACACCCCATTCTCACATCTAGACAGGAATACCAGACAGAAACTTAACAAAGAAGCAAAGGAACTAATAGAAGTTATGACCCAGTTGGGATTAACAGACATCTATAGAACATTCCACCCACCTCGAATGCCCATTCCTGATAATGAACTTGATGTCTATAACCATCCGGGAGCCTTCATCCTGTGACTGATGGAAGCAGAGGCAAACACACAACTAATCACTGAACTGAACCCAAGGAACCCAGTGACAGAGAGAGAGGAGTGATGAGCAAATTGGCAAAGAATGGGCTGGCAAAACCAGCAGAGACAGCTGATCTGAACAGCAGAGTGCTCTTGGACCCCAGACCGACAGTGGGGAGGCCAGCATGGGAGTGATCTGGACCCCCCAAATGTGAGTGTCAGTGAGAAGGCCTGGGCAACCTATGGGGCCCTGAGCTGTGGATCAGTGTCTATCCCTGGTATACAAACTGTCTTCATGTGCCTATAGCACAAAGAGAGATGCTCTCTCAGCCTGGACTCTTAGGGGAGTGCCTTGACCCTACCAAGAGTAAAATGACAGACTCTAGATATCCCCTATGTGGAAG